GCTGCGGCGGCGGCTGCGGCGGCGGCGGCGGCGGCGGCTGCTGCTGCTGCTGCTGCTGATAGTACTGATACTACTGCTACTACTGCTGCGACTGCCACTGCTGCTACTGCTGCTACTGCTGCTACTACTGCTACTGCTACTACTACTACTACTACTACTACTACTACTACTACTACTACTTCTACTACTACTACTACTACGCTACTCCTCCACCTCCTACTACTACTTTTGAAAGCAATGGACTTACTGCATGCCAGCACACATGAACCACTACCACGACGACGACGACGACGACGACGACTACTACTACTACTACTGCTATTGTTACCAAAAAAGAACCACCACACTGCTGTCCGTCTCAACCAAGGAACCGTGGATCGTACTTTCGCCAGCTCCGGGCTCGTTTTAGCATCGACATCGGCCAACAGATCATTGAAAAACGAGGCAGCTGTTGCGAGGTCCTTTTGCAGAACATCGTCAGAAGTAACCTGACAGTGCACAATTTCAACGTACCCAGTTGAAAGTGCAACAGCATTCGAATTCGACTGTGGCGGCAACTGTTCGGAATCCTGATACCGGGAAGATGCCCTCCGCGCCCAAGTATTCACGAGACTTGTCATCAGGATGCTCGATTGGAGGCTTCCTTGGTACTGATGTCGTCCGACTTGAAGCAACGTCGTCAGCTGAGCTGGGCCTTGTCCTTTCGGTCTGGTCGCCCTGGAAAGCAAGGAAATACAAGTACTGATAACTGCAACTTGCATGAGCCCACAGAGTCAGTGTTTTTTACCTGCCTGCGTCAACGCATCCGCACATCGAGGCCAAGGCATCAGGGACGGCTCTGGAATGTTTCCAACCAGCGGTTCCCAATCCCATGCACTGAGGGTGTCATTGCTGCGACCGTCAGCCTTGTAGCCCTGGACAAAGGGTCGCCGCCCTGCCGGCGCCTTGCTGCAAGGCGGATGTGGGACAAATGGCTGCGCGCCTCTGGCGCTGCTTGGTCGACTCCGGGCGCGAGGTGACACAGACGGCGTAGCTGATGGAGATTTGAACTCGATTTTCTGGCGCAGCAGTTCTCGCTCGACGCATCGGATACCTGAGCTCAACAGGAGGGATTAAAGTCGTCTGAGATTCGGTCCCCGATCATGCCCTACCCTGTACACCCATAGCAATGACTCATTGAATTCGAGGCTCGTTCCAAGCGCGTGGCCTGCTTGCATGAAATTTCACGGGTTTCCCGCAGCTTTGCTCTTCCAACGCCCTTTTCTTGGAGAAGCTTGCGACGCTTTTGCTCTGCTTCAAGCTGCCTGAGCCCGGGAGTCATCATGATTGTAGAGCAAACCCTCCGCAAATTTCTCTATACAGCTTCCTAGCATCGCTCACTTGCACTACAACTTGTCGTTCCTACTGCCTCTTTGACTCCTGCTCGATGCGCTGGCTCCTCAGTGTCTCTTGTTCTTGGAATATCTTGCGTCGGTTCGTCTGAAGAACAGCCTGTCTCACTGCAGAAGCATTCACCATCAGGTCTGAAATTTCTTGCTTGGCACCTTTGCTCCTGGCAACACGTTCTTCATGATCTTTGGTGCGCTGTTGCCAGTGCGATTGCTGTCGATCCTCGTGCTCTTGCTTCCTCTGCGCATAACTTGCCCGCACGGCCTCAATGCGCCCGTTCCGTGATCGAGCTCTTTCTTGGACTTCTTTGTGATGCTGCTCCTTGATATAGAGAGCAAAGGAAAGTTTGGTTTCCCAACGTCGAAGATCTCCAATATCTTCCGGCACCTCATTCTTCCGAACACGGGCAGACTGAGCTCTAGCGCGCGATTTCTGCCTGCAGGAACCATCGGCCGCCCCAGCTTCAGGGGACAAGCTGGCTTCAGCACAAGGATTTCTGTCGATGTGCCGTGGCGTTGCTCGATCTCCCCAGGGGTCAATCTGGTTCGGCGAGTTGCTCGCTCCCAGCTCCGTCTCCCAAACTATTTGCCCCAGCAGCTGCAGTGCATAGCGCTTTCGCGGCGACTTCCCTGGCGTATTTGTGGGGTCGACGCCAGCAGCGGCCGTTAGCACCTCTGCCTTTTCAAGGCCTTGGCGCCACAGTGCTCTTGCACAGCATGGCTGGGAAAGATACGATTCCAAATTGTCGGGCTGGTCCCGCAACAATGCCGCCGCTTTTGCGACACATGTCGGGGGCAGTTCCAGGATGGAGGTGGTGGCAATGATCGAACTGTGCGGCCGACACGAAGGAGACATGCTTTCGCCTTGGCCACTCAAAAGTTGGGTGAACTCGAGGTACAACAAGGTATCAATACAAAAGCCTAGTAAACACGCGAGCAAGGCCTCCAAACAATCGCGTAAACCACACGTCATTCATGCGCTCGAGTGGGCGCCACCCGCATCACCCCCACCGAGTCGGACGCCTGCGCTGGTAAAGTTCTACAGCCACAATCCAGACAAAATTCTTGTAGCGGCCACACACACTTTCTAAACATTCGCAGAAGCCTCGGTGCAGATGCGGGCACATGCAGCATCGCATGTGCTGACTCAGCTGAGCCGAAAAGTCGAGCGCACATAGTCGCAAGCGAGAACTGCCAAGTGGCAACACTCAGGGGAACGAGGCAGAAGCATAAACTAGCACTTCGACAAAACTGGAACTGCAATCTCATCGTTACCATCAGTGCACCAAGA